TAATGAATTTGATATGATGTTAATCGGACTCATCAATTTTTTATTATTTATTTTATAGATGTTGTAACGCTTCCCCCCTCTATATAATAATAAATAGATATAATTAATTTACCCCTTTTCGATAAAAATTATAAATATGTGACCAAGATAAATAAGATATGTTTTGATCTTTCTAAATGATCTTTCTAAAGGTTTAATAATAGGCCGTTTGTAATATTTTTGCGTGGTCGTCTTAGTTAGGACCCTTATTTACGTTGTGTTTGTTTAGTAACTTAGTTCTTTTAGGTGTCTTTTGGAAGAATGAATATTCACTAGAGCAATTGAAAGCTGTTGGTAGTGCCTTATAAGCTAAGTGAACCCCGTTCACGAAGACAGGGCTCGAGAAAGGTTAAGAACATAAAACGTCCCTATTCCACTTGTATCAGGTTTACATTATTAATTTATTATTATTTATCCCTGCCCGCTCGGAAAAGGCTCAAAATATATTTATACAAAATACCCGATACAAGGGCTTCGCTCTCCTACATTTATTTAAAAAATGTAGGGGAGGCACACGGCCCCACACACGCCGTGCACGGTGAGCGCCAACCATTTTGATGCACTCCCCCCGAAGGGAACGCTAATTCGGGAACTGGACCGTAGTCCACAGCAAAATAACTGGCGAACCAGTAAAAGAGGCTTGGCCCCTTGTTAGTGCGTATGCACAAACATCGACCGAAGTCGCGCATGTCAATGCGTGTAAACGCCATACAGAATACGAACGAATCCAGCCACAGTGAATGTACGTCACACGGTTTAGGCAAATAGGCACACTGGCCGTGAACCCTCCGTGAGCGCCACCACCTGCCAGATCGCCGCTCCTGCAGACGTGATGTAAGTGTATGGCATCACCACCAATTGCATAATCAGCACGGCTACTAGCCGCAGAGCGTGTCATGAGTCTACCGCTCACCTCAAGGCAATGGGGTCCCACGTTGTGCAGCTTTCGGCCGCAGCCTTGAGAGTCTCCTCAGATCCTCCCGCCAGCTACCACCCGCATGAGGTCGACACATATGCTCCACCAACCAATACAACGGCAAATATAGCCAAAAGGCAGTTATAAGATAAGAGTAATAATTCGCCATCAGAAAGGGTTAGTGTCACTGACGTTGAGTAAATGCATTTTCGATCATGTTTGTCTCACCCACCAACAAGTTGCCTTCAATCATTCAAAGGTGGGAAAGTTACAGAGATATATTATTATGTTGTTATATAAAACATCGTGGAGGGCAGACAGTCTGCAGCCCCGTAATGAAGGGACCCGACTTGGGCAAAGCTACTCAGACGTGAGTCAAACCAAGACGCAAAGAGCGCCATTGAGAATAGCGTCCCACAAAACAACCATCACTGAGACGCAATGCTGCAGAACGCAACAAGCTTCAATACGACTATCGTCGGGCTTACACCATCCCAAGGCCCCTCATACATCCCAGCAGACATCACCACCCGCATACCTCCATCGACCAGAACCACAAGAGTGCGTCAAATCAGGCGCAGCACACCCGCAGATCCATCAAAAGACGCAATACCGCAAGTAGCAGTAAGCATCAATGCAACGCCCATAGACATGAAGTTGAGTATGCCTGTTACACATAAAAGTGCTAAACACACTCATTATCCCAATCCGAAAGATAGATGACGCATCGCTATGTACTACGACGTCGCCCACAAACGGTATGGGTGTGCGATGTCCACGGAAAAGCCGTATTGCTACAACAAACCCGCTTACCACCGGCACTAAGATTGTTGTTATATAAAACTGTACCAACGTATCATAGTAGCACGCTACTAAGACGCCAGTGGACAAAACTCCACGTATCATAGCGCTAATGCACTAAGACATGAAGTTGAGTACGCCTGTTACACCTAAAAATGCTAAATACCTTCATTATACCAATCCGAAAGATAGAAGATTCATCGCTATGCGCTACGTCGTCGCCCACAAACGGTATGTGTGTGCGATGTCCACGGGAAAGTCGTATTGCTACAACAAACCCGCTTACCACCAGCACTAAGATGATATATCTAGGACACATCGGTTAGCGAGTCCAAGCCACCATAATATTCCTTTTCAAGTCCCTAATAAGGACTAGTCATTTTGCTACAGTACTAGGAGCAGTCGGTCACCCGACCACTCCATACAATGTTTATGCATTAAGGAGACCTTCTATAATATTGGTTTTGTATCATAGACCTTACTTTCATAAGTCATTCATATATATGGTTCGAACCCACAGCCCTACTATTTTAATGCATATTTATCATAGAGACCTTCTATAGTATTGCTTTTGTATCATAGACCTTACTTTCATAAGTCATTAATATATTGGGTGCGAACCCACGACCCTACTATTGTAATGCTTATTAATCATAGAGACCTTCTATAGTATTGCTTTTGTATCATAGACCTTACTTTCATAAGTCATTAATATACTAGGGTTCGAACCCACGACCCTACTATTGTAATGCATATTAATCATAGAGTCCTTCTATAGTATTGCTTTTGTATCATAGACCTCACTTTCATAAGTCATTAATATATAAGACTTCAACCCACGACCCCACTATTGTAATGCAAATTCATTATGGAGACCTTCTATAGTATTGCTTTTGTATCATGTGAGTTTAATATCATAAGTCCCTAATATAGGACTAGTCATTGTGCTACAGTAGTTCAGGCAGTCGGGCTCCTGACCACCCCATATATATGTACAACTGCAGGTATGTATCTCCGGCAGCTCCTCTATACACGACATCTATACATGAACACCTTCCATAACTTAGGAAACTTTTATACATGAACTCCTTCCACGACTTATTTCTTTTATACATGAACTCCTTCCACGACTTAGACAATTTTCAACAAATTTTCTAATTATCTTATAAATGTTATTTATCTTTATTTTTATAATATTTTCGACTAGTATTTCTATTAATTATCTTATTTTAAATATTTTTTCAAGTTTTTAATAAATTTATTTAAGGAAGACAATATTTTGCCTTTAATTTACTATGTTATTGGTCTAATGTCTGAAATGTATTCATATTAACTTTATGGTTATTAATGTAATTTTATTGTTTAATATATATCATTTAAGACTATTTTTGACGCCCCTTTATATTGAATTTAATTATTAATAATAATATTGGGCCGTCACAATGTGTACTAACTTTTTTATAAAATGGGGTGAAAAATGAGCACATACGTACCTGGCTACCTGATGGTAAGTTAATTCTGTGGCCCACATATATCCAATACCCCTGTTGTCTAAGATGGAATGCCCAGTTTCCAGTTAAAAGGTTCTACGGTTTCCTGCATTAAAAAAACAAAACATAGCTGCAATGTACACTACATCATTAAACTATTTCATACTCATAATCTGTGAGAGCGTGGTTCCTGCCCAGTGCTTTATAATACAGCAGCAGTATATACACGAACGTTGTATTTTACATGACGCCAAGCTACAGTGAAAGAGTATGATAAATTTTTTTTGGTGAAATTTATGGAAATGAATATGATTCGTAGCAGCTTTTTCTCATAGTCTCATAGAACTCAAAATAATTAAAAAACCCAAAGAGATATATAGAGAGATACCAGTTACTCGACTCCACCGAGTCAGTTATTCATTCTTGGGGCGATGTATACGCTTTTACAACAAAATCCGAGAAAATATACAAAATGTGTCATACGCAAAGTTCAAAATTTTTATTAAACTAAGTTTGTGTAAAAAGGGTTATTATAATATTAAGGAATTTATGGATGACCGATGATTTGTCTTGTGTTGTTGATGATAAACATGATTGCAAGCTATTATTTTAAAAAAAAAGTCAAGCTGGGTTTCTTGCTGGTTCATCCCAGGGCATAGGTTACCATTACCATTTGCGAACCAGTTATAAATGAAAAAATTGATTTTCACTAAGTATTGTTTATAATCTACGTTGAATAAAAGAGTTTCTGTTTCTGTTTCGGTTTCTGATGACGAGGACGGTGACGTGACAATGACGATGACAATGACGATGTCGATGTCGATTACGATGACGATGATGATGGCAATAACGTTGACAATGATGATGATGGCGATGTCGATGACGATGATGATGACGAAAACGATGACGATGACCGTGACGTTGACCATAACGATGATAAAGACCATCTCCATGTTGATTACAATGACGATGACGATGACGATAACGATGATGATGTCGATGACGATGACGATGACGGTGACGTTGACCATGACGATGACAATGAAGATATCGACGTTGATACCGATGATAATGATGACGACGATGACGATGACGATGGCAATGAAGATGACGATGACGATTACGATGACGATGACGATGACGACTACGACGACGATGATGATGTTGACGATGATGAGTGTGATGAATACGATGATGATGATGTCGATGACGATGATGATGATGACGATTTTGATGACAGTGATGATGACAATGACGATGAAGATGACGATGACTATGTCATCAACATCATATGTCGTATGGTATTTTGCTATGGGGACACGTAACTGACACCGAAATTATATTTATTTTAGAGAAGAGAGCCATTAGAGCAATATATAATTTAAAACCCAAAGTGATATATAGAGAGATACCAGTTACTCGACTCCACCGAATCAGTTATTCATTCTTGGGGCGATGTATACGCTTTTACAACAAAATCCCAGAAAATATACAAAATTTGTCATACGCAAAGTTCAAAAATTTTATTAAACTAAGTTTGTGTAAAAAGGGTTATTATAATATTGAGGAATTTATGAATGACCGATGATTTGTCTTGTGTTGTTAATTGTAAACATGATTGTAAACTATTATTTAAAAAAAAGTCGCGCTGGGTTTCTTGCTGGTTCTTCCCAAGGCACAGGTTACCATTACTATTTGCGAACCTGTTATAAATGAAAAAATTGATTTTCACTAAGTATTGTTTATAATCTACGTTGAATAAAAGAGTTTCTGTTTCTGTTTCGGTTTCTGATGACGATGACGGTGACGTGGACAATGACGATCACAACCACGATGTCGATGTCGATGACGATGACGATGATGATGGCGATAACGTTGACAACCATTATGATGGCGATGTCGATGATGGTGACGTTGACCATGACGATGATAAAGACCATCTCTATGTTGATTACAATGACGATGACGATGACGATGACGATGATGATGTCGATGACGATGACGATGACGGTGACGTTGACAATGACGATGACAATGAAGATTTCGACGTTGATACTGATGATAATGATAACGATGTCGATGTCGATGTCGACGACGATGATGATGACAATGTCAATGACGATGATGACGGTGACGAGGATGATGATGGTGATGATGATGATTATGATGATAATGATGGCGATAATGATGAAAATTGCGATGATGATGATGACAATGATGATGACGATGACGATGACGGTGACGTTGACCATGACGATGACAAAGACGATCTAGATGTTGATGACAATGAAGATGACGATGACGATGACGGTGACGTTGACCATGAAGATTACAATGAAGATGTCGACGTCAATACGGATGATAATGATGACGATGTCGATGTCGATGTCGACGACGATGATGATGACAATGTCAGTGACGATGATGACGATGAAGAGGATAATGATGGTGATGATAATGATGATGATGATGACGATGACGATGACGATGACGGTGACGTTGACCATGACGATGACAAAGACGATATAGATGTTGATGACAATGACGATGACGATGATGATGATGACGAGGTCGGTGACGATGACGACGAAGATGTCGATTACGATGATGATGACGATAATAATGACGATGACGATGTCAATGACGATGATGATGACTATGACGATGTCGATGACGATGACGACGATGAAGAAGATGATGATGACGATGATGATGATGATCTCAACGACGTTGACGGTTACGATGATGATGACGATGACGATGATGATGATGTCAACGATGTTGACGGTTACGGTGACGATGACGATGAATATGATTATGGCGATGAGGATGATGAAGACTGCGAAGACGATTACGATAACGATGATGATGACGATGACGACAACGATGACTACGATGATGATGATTACGACGAAGATGAAGTTGACTACGTTGATGTCGATAACGACTTTGATGATGATGATGATGATGACGATTAAATGATGATGATGAAGATGATGATGATGAATACGGTGATTATGTTGTCGATGTCGATGACGATGACGATGACGACGACGATGAAGAAGATGATGATGACGATGATGATGACGATCTCAATGACGTTGACCGTTACGATGACGATGATGATGATGACAATGTCGACGACGGTTACTATTACGATGACGATGGAGGTGATGATGATGAAGACCGCGAAGACGATTACGATAACGATGATGATGACGATGACGATAAAGATGACGACGATGATGATGTTTACGATGAAGAAGAAGATGAAGATGACGACGTTGATTACGATGACGACGTTGATGATGGTAATGATGACAATGACGATAACGATGACGACGACTACGACGATGATGATGAGACGACGACGACGACGATGATGATGATGATGATGATGACGATGATGAATACGGTGATTACGATCTAGATGTCTATGACGATGACTACGACGATGAAGAAGATGATGATGACGATGATGATGAGGATCTCAACGGTGTTGACAATGAGAATGATGAATGAGATGATGACAATGTCGATGACAGTGACGATGACGATGATTAGCGATGACGATTACGATAACGATTATGATGACGACGATGATGGTGATGTAAACGAATTTGACGGTTACGATGATGATGTCGATGACGATGATGATGATGACAATTTCAATGACGATGACGATGACAATGACGATGATGATGACGATGCCGATAACGATGACGACGATGATGATGTACACGATGAAGATGAAGATGACTACTTTGATGACGATGACGACCTTGATGATGATAATGATGACAATGACGTTAACGATGACGACGACTATGATGATGATGATGACGATGAAGATGATGATGATGACGATGATGATGATGAATACGGTGATTACGATCTCGTTGTCGATGTCATCGACATCGTCGGATGAAGAAGATGATGATGACTGTGATGGTGAGGATCACAACGATGTTGACCGTTACGATGATGATGACGATGACGATGATGATGATGTCAACGATGTTGACAGTTACGATGACGATGATGATGACAATGTCGATGACGGTGACAAATGACGATGACGATGGCGATGATGATGCTGAAGACTGCGAAGACGATTACGATAACGATGATGACGACGATGATGATAACAATGACGACGATGATGATGTCAACGATGTAGACGGTTACGATAACGATGACGACGATGATGATGATGATGACAATGTCGATGACGGTGACAAATGACGATGACGGTGGCGATGATGATGCTGAAAACTGCGAAGACGATTACGATAACGATGATATGAGGATGACGATAACGATGACTACGATGATGATTACGATGAAGTTGAAGATGACGATGAAGATGATGATGATGACGATGATGATGGTGATGTAAACGATGTTGACGATTACGATGATGATGACGATGACGACGTAGATGATGAAGATTATTATGACGATGATGATGATGATGTTAACGATGTTGATGGTTACGACGACGATGACGATGACGATGACGATTATGTTGATGTCAACGATGTTGACGGTTACGATGACGATGACGATGACGATGGTGGTGATGACAATGTCGATGACAGATCGATGATGATAAAGACATATCCCGTGACTGAATGTCTTGTGCTAGGGTCGTTAGCGAAATCTGCATCACTGTAGCCAACTACTACATTAGGCTCTGACATTGGTGTGTAGCACAGGCTATAACTTTTAGATACTTGGAAAATTTTTTCACAGCATTCCAGTGTGTTTCATTGTAAGAGTTTAAAAATCGACTCACCAGGCTTACTGCGAATGAAATATCAGGCCGGCTTACTGTAGCTAGGTGCATCAATGATCCAACTGCTTCCCGATATGGGATGTTCTTTTCTGTTTCTCCTTCTCCTTTCTCCAACTTCATATGTGGCTCAACTGGAATACAGTTTGGTTTACAATTATACAAATTAAACTTATTTAATAACTTTTCAATATAGTTTCTGATATATAAAAATGTATTTGTCACACTTCTGTATCTCCATACCAACAAAATTTTTGAGTGAACAGATTTTCACTTCAAACATTGTAAGTCATTAACTAACTCCTTTAAAGTTGATGTATTTTTCGCAAATAACTGTCCATCATCAACATACAAACACAGGTAACATTTTGCTCCATTAATAGTGCCAACATACATACACTGATCAGCTTTACAATTGGCTAGCCCAAACTTCTTTAAAACAGCATCAAATTTTGAATTCCAGCATCTGGGAGCCTGTTTTAAACCATATGAAGATTTATTGAGTTTACACACCTTATCAGGATCGCAGGTTAAGCCCTCGGGTATAGTCATGTATATATTCTTCAAGCTCACCATATAGAAAAGCTGTTTTAATATCTAGCTGAATTATCTGAAGATTGTGTTGAGCAACTTCTGAGAATAATATACGTATGGAATCGTACCTGAAAGTTGGAGCAAATGTATCTTGGTAATAAATACCTTTGGTTTGTGAGTATCCTTTCACACAAAGCCGGGACTTATAACGTGGACCTGAAGGTTCTTCTTTGATGCGAAAACCCCATTTACGTCCAATTATTCGCATATTGGGAGTTTTTCTAACTAATGTCCAAGTATTATTTTTATGATGAGAATCAAGCTCTTCATTTATTGATTTTATCCATTTTGTGGCATCAATAGACTTTAATGTCTTTTCATAGTTATCAGGAACTTCATTTTCTGATAATTTGTCTTCACAGCACGGGTAAGAACTCTCTTCTTGTTTCTGTGCATTTAAACATTTTCTTCTTGTTCTTACTGTTATATTTCTGTCAGGTGAAGATTCTACACTTTCATCCGGGATGTACCCGCTGTCTGACTGTGATTTATGTTCACTCACAGTGTCTAATGAGTCATCACTTGAAATTTCTTCTAAATTGTTACTTTTATTACAGCTTTCAATTGTAATTAATTCAATCGGTGCAAAATCTCTTTTAACTATTGACTCTAAAAATATTGCATCTCTACTTTTTATTGCTGTTCTTGAATTAGGTAATATGAATCGATATCCTTTTGAATTTTCACAGTAGCCAATAAAAATTAATTTTTGTGATTTTGAATCAAACTTCATTCGTTTTTCTCTTGGTAAGTGGACCATTTCCTCACAACCAAATGTACGCATGTGGCTAACCTTAGGTTTCTGACCAGTCCACATCTCTTCTGGGGTTTTATAAAACAGAGATTTTGTTGGAGAGCGGCTTACAATGTAAGCAGTTGTATGAATTGCTTCAGCCCAATAGATTTTAGGTAAGTTAGCATTAACATCTTGCTCTTTCTACTAAAGTTCTGTTCACGCGTTCGACTGTACCATTTTGTTCTGGTGTATAAGGTGTAGTTGTCTGATGTATTATTACGGCATATTTGAGAAAATTTGAAAATTTTTCATTGACTTATTCAAGTCCACTGTCAGATCTGAGAATTATAGATAGATAATATAAAACATCTAAATAATATAAAACATCATAATAATAGATAGATAATATAAAACATCTATAATTTCTTCTGTTTATGGTCAGGTGTGCGAAGCTAGGCTTATACTAATGTAACTGATAGAATCGGTTGTTACTTTGCGGAAATTTATTATAATAAAGATATTAATTAATTTGCAACCAACCGCTAACTAAACAAAATTATGTGTCTTACCAGGATTGAAGAGCGCCTCCCGCCCTTCCTCAATTGTTTCATTATTGTTTTATTCTCATAGCGAGTGCACGTTGATTACAAAGCTCGTCAAATATCACCTATATTGGTGAGTTGAATCTACTTTTTTAGTATTTAGAAATTCAGCCGCCATTACTTTTTTTTACTTCATATTTGTTTTTGTTAATTGTCATCATCATCGTCGTCGTCTTCGTCGTCATTGTCATTGACATCGTCATCATCATCATCTTCATCGACATCGTCATCATCATCATCGTCATCGACGTCGTCATCGTCATCTTCATGATAATCATCATCACCGTCGTCATCGTGTAATATATTCGGTGCAAAAACTGTGCATACTTTGATTAATTAAATATATTTTTTTTAAAAAATTGACTTTATATTCCTCCCGTACAAAAAGCCAATTTCATATGTAAGAACCTATTATGGAAAATTTAATAACTTACTATTTATATATCGTTATGTATTTTCCTTTTCTAGCCAGTGGATGTTTCATTGTTGGAGATACGTCTATCACATTGCAAGAAGGATATTATTATAGCCACATTGAGACGTGTGAAAGCCTACACGTAGACTTATATGTTGCATTATTATGTTGCAGGGATATCTGTTTCATTTTATACTGTTCAATATATAATTTTAATTTATTTATTAGTTTGTAAATGTTGTTAAATTTTTATTGCTTAACATATTTTTATTCAAAATTTTCTATTAAAAAGAACTTTTTCAAAGTCAAGAAAGCTAGGACATCATTTTAACAAGTTCCTTCCAATTATTAAATAAATTCCAATCCTTACGCGCAAGAAAGTCACAAAACAAGCCCGTATCCTTTTTACACGCGCTTTGAATTTTTGCAAATCCAAATAAGAATCTTGGTATAAATTTTTACATATCTAGTTTAAAAGAAGCTGCTAGTTTTAAGGAGAAGTAGTTTTAGAGAGAGAGAGGAGAGAAAGAGAATAGCAACAACATGTTTAGATTTATTTGAAAGGCCCTTTATATGAAAGGTATTGAAAAGGTATATTACATAAATTATTTCCTTTTCTGCAAACCAATGTATTTAGCCGTGTGGTCGTAGTTTTAGAAAATCTATATAGGTTATTTATAATTAATGATTACTAATAACATATACGTGCGTATACGCGCTGTTTTCGAAAGTCATTAAGAATCGACTCGCACGCAGACTCGACGATTTCCAGCCTCCCGAACAAGCCGGTTTCCGAAAAGGCTTCAGTACCATAGACCACGTACATACCCTACGGCGGATTGTACAGAATACCAAAGAGTACAATCTGCCACTTTGCCTAGTGTAAGTAGACTATGAGAAAAACTTTAATTCCGTCGAAATTTGGGCGGTGCTACAGTCCCTTCAGCGCTACCACGTTGTCGTTATGTCGAAGTGCTGAAGTGTTTGTACAGTTACAATTGCTACAATTGCTATCCGAGAACAGAACCACAGTACGAAACTTATCTTACAGAGAGGTGTAAGACAGGGTGAAATTATATCCCCGAAACTCTTCACCGTGCATTGAACGTTTTCAAGCTACTGGAATGTAAAGGATAAGGTATTAACATCAAAGGCGAGTACATCACTCACCTCCGATTTGCCGACGATATAGTCCTTATAGCAGAATCGATCGAGGATCTAAGCACTATGCTCATTAACCTCAATAGTGTGTCCCAACGGATAGGTCTTAAGATTAACATGGACAAAACAAAGATCATGTTTAATGTCCATGTCACATCTATGCCGGTAATTGTTGGGAGCACTACGCTCGAAGTTGTTGACGAGTACGTTTACCTGGGACAAATAGTCCGACTAGGTAATTTCAACTTCGACCGAGAGGTCAATCGATGGATTTAACTCGGCTGGGCATCGTTCGGAAAATTACGACACACCTTCTCGTCAGGTATACCTCAAAACCTGAAAACTAAGCTGTGGAGCTCAGCGAGCTATGGAAAGGTCTATGCTCAGAGTTTCTCTGCGTGATAAACTTAGAAATGAGGATATCCACAGTAGAGCCAGAGTAACTGACTTAGCCCAACGGATTAGTAAGTTGAAGTCGCAATGGGCCGGTAATATAGCTCGAAGAACCGACAACCGATGGGGAAAAAGGTTCTCGATAGGCAGCCTCGTACCGGTTGGCGTAGTGTAGGGCGACCCCCACTAGATGGAATAACGACCTGGTAAGACATGCAGGAAGTAGATGGAT